TCAAGTATGGATATATCTCCAAAAAATGAGAGGAATAATGTACACTACCTTTCGAATATAGCAATTAAATTAGCTCCAAGAGAAAAAATTGTAATTTTGATGATCGATGAAATTTATATAACATCTAGGCTGGACTATCGCTCACAAAACATTGTTGGGTATGCCTCAAATAAAAATGACATGGCTAAAACTGTTTTAGCCTTCATGCTATCTTCAGCATTTGGAAACATAACAGAAATTATTAAATTACTACCAGTTTCAAATCTAACAGGTGATGAAATGACACCTTTGGTTGAACATGTGATAAATTTAGTTCAAAAATGTGGATTTGAAGTTATTTGTGTTGTTACTGATATTCACCGAATTAATAGAGCAATGTTGAGGAAATTAGCAAAGGATTCATCAGAAAATTATTCTATTCCAAATCCACATAATCCTGATAAGAACATATATATAACTTATGATGTTGTGCATATTTTCAAGAGTATCAGAAATAATTGGATTAATTTAAAAAACCTAGACAAAACTTTTGTATATCCTAATTTTGACAATAATGATATTATTCAGTATGCTAAATTTGAAAACATTCGTGCTGTATATCAATTGGAAAAAGAAGCTGTAGTCAAGAAAGCATATAAATTAAATTATAAAACATTGCATCCAAATTCATTTGAAAGGCAAAATGTAAATTTTGTAGATAATTTATTCCATCACTCAACAATAGCTGCTATGAAAGAATTAAAGTTTAATGATGCTGCACACTTTTTGGAAATAATCAGGAATTGGTGGGATATTGTCAGTGATACAAGTGTAATAAAAGGAGAATTGAAGCGAAACGAATTTTGTAAGCCTATTACCAATAAATATGATTATAGAGTACAATTTTTAAAAAAATTCCTGATATGGTTAGAAAAATGGCATAATCTAGAGAATAATAATGGACACCTGACACCAGAAACGTGTACAGCTCTATATCAAAGCACGCTGACTCTACTTAATATAATTCAATATTCATTTAGTCAATTTCACATTGAGTATGTATTGCCTGGAAAATTCACCACTGATAATTTAGAAAAACGATTTGGCAATTATAGACTTTTATGTGGCTGCAATTACAATGTGTCATATGATGAAATTAATGCTGAAAAGAAAATACGGCTGAAGCATATATTCAATGAAAAGAAATCGTCATTTTCTTTAGCAGAAATTAAAACAAGGTTCCAAAACTGCTTAGAAACTCAAGAAAATTTTGATTTCTTGGATACCAAACAAAATCCTGAAGTTTTGGATATATTCAATGAAGTATTTGAGACAAATTACTTAGCCAATTGTGACATAGAGGATAGTACTAAGACTTATACAGGGTGACTTTGAAGTTGAGTCATTAATTTTCAGATAATGATTGTAGAAGGAAGATAAACCAAAATATGTGTGTAAAAATAAAAAAAATTAAAAAAAATTCTTACCTTGTTTTATAAAGTATCCTCCCGACAAGTATTTCAGTGCGGACCTGTATTTGATCGTGAGGTCTTGGAGCACCGGCATGCCGTCCCCTGTGAGGTTTTAAGTCACCTGATTCACGAGCCCGTTGTACTACATTAACAAAGGCACGAGGGGTTGGTTGCACTCGATTGGGAAACCGATCCGCATAAACATGTGCCATTTTTTATTTCGTTTGAGCCACGCAAGAGACACCACTATTCACTCACGCGTTACCGACTGACACTGACTGTATACAACTGAATAAAATAATTGTAAAAACATCGTTCCAAATTCTTTCGCTTTTTTGTTTCCGATGCGATGAACCGATAAGGCGGATTATATTCGTTGTTGCCAAACACGAGCACATAATATTATTATTGAGACAGGGCGGTACTCAAACTTCCAAAGGGCTATAACTTTGTTACTTTAATTTTACCAGAAAAATGGTAAAGGAAAAAAACATTTCTTTTGATCAGATCTACTCACTGTTAAAATAAATGACCCAACTTCGAAGTCACCCTGTATATCTGGATATGCTTCACACGCTATCTCTAAAAACCTAAACTGCGAGATATGCAAATCGCTCATAGTTAAAGAAAAAGGTTCATTAACAACAAATGTTTATTTTGATCATTTGCAAAGAGGAGGACTGTCAATTCCAACCAGTTATGTACCAATCATATTCTACCATATGTATGCCATTTTTGAATCTATTATTAATGTAGATAGATTGGAAATTTTCTTCTTGAAAAGCAATAATCAAAAATTTATTTTGTGTCAGTTACCCTTGCTCAGCATTCAGTCTGACTTTATATACAGTGAATTTTCTTTAACTTGCATCTGTGGCCGCAATTATGCAGATATTTTATCTAAGCTTTTGTCTATTTTTTCAAACATAATTTTGAATGATTATGTAAAATTGAAAAATAACAGTAAAACTGAAAGTAAATGTATTAAAAACAAACAGGTAACTACACATTTCCAAGCTGGGCCTGTTGGAACACAGTGTGCTGACACCAAAAAACGTAAACTAAATACTTTTAATTAGGTTAACTGCATTAGCGACTCATATATTTCACGATTATTTCGTATTTTTAAATTTTTTAGAGCTATTTCATGTTCAGACGATTTGTATCGAATCGAACTGTCCTCTTTTCCAAAATTAAATTTAGTTCTTGAACGTTACACGGAGACGGAGCACACAGCCGCTGGCGGCCGACGTTCACAGGTAGCACTACCATGCCGTCCGAGCGCGGTGTTGCCTTTCTTTCATCACGGCTCGTAGTTGACGTCGGCTGTGATGTGGTCCTGGAACATAATTCAAATATCATGTAACGAGAAGAGATATCGTAACTGCTTTGACAGATTGCAAAAGTGGTGACATTTTGGAGTCTATCTTGGAAACTATTGCATGTTTGTGATAACAAAGAATATAGAGTTACCAGTATAAGAGCCACTCCGTCGTGGTGGCTGAGAGGATACCTCTGGTAGCTGAAATACTACCTCGCATTTGCACGTGATCACCCATTCATTACCTGCGGCAATAGTCCAGGAAGTATCTTCACATCTGCTCGGAAAATATTCTGATTAGTTTTTTGCACGACCTTAATAAAAAAGAAAAATAGTTTTGGACGTAATTTTAGCTATGGAAAAATGCAGATTCATTAAAAGAGGTCTTTTTTAATGAGATTATGCAAAAAACAATCAAAATATTTTTCTAAGCGGATGAGCATATACTGTACTATAACTACCCAGGTAGTCGATCGGCGCCTAAAAAAAAGGATCCGAGTGCTTAGAAAAAAATCCCATCTTTAAATGGCAGAAGATCAAAGGCGTTTTCGCGAGTGGCGTTTCTACTGGTAACTTGTATTCTTTGGTAATAACTAACTTCTTTCCAGGTGAACGTCCTCCAATTAGAAGGTCTCGGTAGCAGCGACCTTGAGAGCGAATGTTCGGTATTCGACGTCCGTACGGCCGCTTCGGCAGCTGCGTCTGGTTCCTCGTCAACCGCTGCCTCTCGACGCGCGTCATCCGCATGCAACAACAACAACCACTCTGGCGAAGCGTGCGATGCGCATGACTCGCCGCGTGCGAAACCAGCCGTGCGCAGCAGCAGTGAGAACGCGGGTGAAGGTGGGGGAAGAGGATCGGCGGCTGCCGCATGCGCAAAACAGTGCGCATCGGCGTCAGTGTCAGGAGGAAGCATAGCGTAATGTACAGCGGGCGTATGAATGAATGGAACGTGGTGCGTTTGAGTGAGTGCGTAAAATGGGGTGTGAGAAGTAGAATGCAGTGTACACTTGTTCGTTCGTGCAACAGTCAGTAAGTTGTCGGTGAGTGTAGCCTAAAGTCCGGCAGTATGAATTAATTTTATTCTGCTACACTATGTAATCGGTATTTATATAGTCGGTAGGGGTATTATGTGTCTTGAAAAGTGACATTACCTCTTTTTTGATATTATATAGTTTTTTCTGGCATTATGTATATTTTTCTACAAGATTTCAACTTAGCACTAGCTGTTGTACACTTGTTGTGTACTCGATCCGTAGCTGTAGGAGTTGCCTAAACGTCATGATGCTTCAACTATTACTGTTTGAGAGGTTAAGGTGTATACTTTCTTGTTTCAAATACATTTACTTGAGATGTAGACAAAGCTAAAAATTAGTTGCATATTCGCTTTTTCTTATTCATCCTGGAAATTACATATGCAAATTTGCTGAATTTCAAAAAAGAGAGCGATGAGAAAAGAAAATCCCTACTTTGTGAAGCATATTAAAACTAACAGGTGAGAAAATATGGTAACATATCGGAATATTTATGAAACGTAAGAAAGTTTTATTTCCACTCATTTCAATCTTATAGAAATGTATTTTACGATGTCAAGTAGAAAATTAAAATCAGCGTTTAGATGTGAGGCAGTGCGAAAATGTGGGTAATACTCATTCCTAATTTTTCTATGATGTGGTTTAATTACACACAACGCGGGTGCGGTGCTGATTTCCCGTACTGCTTCTCTTTGGCAACGCAAAATACGATACTCTGCTTCTCAACCACACATCTTCTCAGAGTATATTCCACAGAATATCTGGGCATTCTGCAATCAACAAACCATGATGGTTAACTGGCTTGCAGCATGATCATTGAGCGTGTCGTGCCGTTGAGTCATTCCATAGATGGACGCTTTTGATGACGCTGACTATTTGCACACTAGGAACTATCTAGGCAGCAAGTTGACATCGTTTTTTTTTACGTTTTATAGTTTTTTACGTAAAGGCCCTGCCGATGCGATCTTCGACTACACTTTGCGACTATAGTGTACAAGCAACCCACTGACCGACTCTCAAGGAATCAAGATTGCTGATCACAAGAGCAGAAATCTGCATATAAAATAAGCAACAGGTATTCAAAAGCGATGTTTTCTTTAGTTGCATTCAGATTCAATTCACATTATGTAAAACAATCGGGATCTGAGTCATAATACAAACACATGCATATTATAATACAAAAATATAGCTTACTCCTGCCGTCTTCCCGCCTACAACGCTCTCTATCAAAAACATCCTCTTCAAGATTTCTAGCTCTCATTGCTTGACCGTTCTGTTCTTCTTCGTCCTCTGGAATATCTTTTTTTGCCATCCATCTGAATCAACTTTAACTTCTCTTTTCAATTCGATCCAGGTTCGTCTTATTATTCGCTCTTATGATGCGCCTAACCCCATCATTAGTTCTTATTCCCATTCTCGAAATGCCTGGACTTCTTATCAAGTAGACCTTTTCAACAGCTAGTATACAGTGCTCCAAGTGTGCACCCATCATCTACACTACTGAGTCATACCATACGTTACCACTGACTCGACTAGGCTTTTTTAGTCGACATGGAAGTAAGTCCGTTCCACCAAACACTATTGAGACGTCCTATTATTTTCTTGGCATTTAAGATTCTTGATTTAATTTCTTCTCCACCTAATCTTTCTCTGGTTACAGCCGCTCCAAGGTATTTGAACTTGTCAATTTGCTCTATAATCACATCATTATTAATACATACGATGGGGTACCCAAAAAAAATCGCAATTATTTTTTAAAAGCTATTTATTTTTAACTTTTTGGCAAAGTAATCTTATCTCCTTCAAAATACTGTCCACCTCAACTAATACACCGGTACTTCCACAGCTCAAAAGATTTTTTGAAGTGTTCCTTAGAAATGTCTGACAGCTCCTCCCTCGTTTTCTTCTTGACCTCTTCAATGTCGTCAAAGTGGCTTCCTTTCATGCCCCGTTTCATACGTGGAAATAAGGAAAAGTCGCACGGAGCCAGGTCTGGCGAATAAGGTGCGTGAGGCAGCGGAACCATGCCATTTTTAGCCAGAAACTGTCGAACAGAGATAGCTGTGTGACCAGGTGTATTATCGTGGTGGAAGAACCAGTCTCCTGGCTGCCACAAATCGGGACTTTTTTGACAAACACTGTTTCGCAATCGTCTTAAAACCTCCAAATAGCACAAGCTCTCGAATTTGTTCAACAGGTTTGTCGATTCGGGCAGTTGATGGACGTCCAGAGCGAAGTTTGACATCAATTGACATGTCGCCATTTTTAAATCAAGCAAACAACTCGTACACTTAAGTTTTTCCCTTAGCATCATGTTTGTAAGCTATTTTCAACATTAAAACAGTTTCAGCAGCATTTTTACCAATTAGAAAGCAAAATTTCAAAGCTGCACGTTGCTCACTGAAGCTTGCCTTCGAAAAAACGAAACAAGCACGAAACAGCTCTAGCAAAAATAATGACTACAGAGGAACGAAACAAGCCAGATCGAGAACTCAGGTGGCACTGAACTGGTACTGAGTTGCGCTGTACGCCTCAAGGGGAAGAAATGAGTACTTCACAAGCTCCGCCCACTGCAATGCTATTCCGGTTATTTTTGGGTACCTCCTCGTATTTCAAGATCTGCCTGCATTCTGAATATTGTTTATGCAGATGATTTAATCATCAATTCTAAGTCATACGAGGCATTAACCACCTGATGAACCGCAAAATCGTATATAAATAGGTAGTTATATTAAGACCCACACCCTGGCAGTTCCGTCAAATCTGTGGTAGTCGCTATAGGGTGTGAGACTTTTCTTCTACTCTTAATATATTTATTGGGTCCAAAAGGAAATCGCCAGCTCCAGCTTCTTCAAGTACGCTCCATAATTATTAATAGTGATCTGGGTACAGAATCGTAGGCCTGTTCAAGGTCTATGAGAGCCACATGCACTTCTCGTTGATTTGATATTTGTTTTTCCATCACTTGTTGAAGCACAAACAGGTTATGCGTCCAGAATCGCCAAGGTGCAAAGCCACTCTGATCCTCACCTATGTTATGAGATAGTTCGTTTCTTCGCTAGCATTGGTTTAAGAAATAAGTTGAACATCGTATTTTAAAAGCTCAGCTACCATTTTTCATTCTACTAAGATTTTGCCTAACTTCATGTATTGATAGATTGATATTGTTGTGTGTCCTTTGTGAATTTTCATCTGCATGTCTATATTCTGGTCGCGTTTCAACTAACAGATATTTGTAATGTTGTCGCCACTTAGCCACACCAATCCTTGGATTGTCTATTATAGTTCGCGATTGTTGATTTTCTTGTGTTTAATTATGAGTCAGAGTCACTCTTCAATGCTTCAAGATCCCCGATTTTGATTTTCCATTTCTTGGCAAGTACGATCTCATATTTTACTGTTTTGTTCAAATGATTATCTCACATCTCCATTTCTATTATTATATTTGTTTCACTTGTTATTTGAAGGGTTTGATAGTCACGAATTATACGCTTTACTCTTTTCCCCTATTACTTATTCCACTTCTTTTGTGAGCCATATTGGTGGTGTCTTCGTTCAATTTTAGGTTTCTCACCCAGCTCTTGTCGACCCTGAGTTGATCTCATATTCTTTTCCTATGTCATCAGTATACAACATCTTATTCGGCAGGACCTATATTCAATCTTTCTCAACAATGATCCAAACTACAATTCGCTCCCATCCTCGAGTGAATGTCGAGTTACAATCATGTTAATACTTTTCCGAAAAGGTTTTTTAAGGTTTCAAATCTCTTAACAAGGTTTTCCCGAAAACACGCTACTTGTATCTTGTATGACCACCGATTACTCATTGAAGGCTATCTGACTCTACAAGGAACAGTGAATGTTCGACACTGCATTCTGCTTGGAAATTAAACTTGTATATTCGTTATGGAAGCTTATTGTATTAATACGGAACAATGAACGCGTACTCGTATTTGACAGTCAAGTGTAAAAAGGTCGAAACTTAATGCAGTTTTGTCACACTGGGGATTCTCATTGAGTTTAATAACTGCTGCGAGACCAGTAGAACACAAAACAAGTTAATTTTTTTTCATTTAGATTTGATAACATCTGGTTGTTTGGCCTAACTGCATTTAGTTTGATCTTTGACCTACTTCTTTGAGAAATACGAATATGAAGCACCACCTGTTGTAGCAGTTGTGATATTTTTGGCTTTTGGGTGTTCATTGATTAACAGAAAAAACTCCGAGGCACGTCATAAACTACTTCACCCCCTTTCACAATCTGCCCCCAGGGTCATCCCCTTAAAAATTTTGAAAGACAATGAGTATCGAGCAATAGCTTGTTTGAAAGGTATTTCGAAGTCCTTTATTTTGAAAATTAGAATTATTTATCTTAATTTGTTCAGATAGAAAACAAAAACACACGAAAATATCACTTTTTATTTCAATAAGTGTTTAAAATGTTGCCCGTTATTGGCCAAACAATGATATAGGCGATGTTCAAATTCCTGACGGACATTTTCAAAAACATGTTGTGGGATATCATGGTAGCTTTCAACGATGCGTTGACGAAGTTCATCCAAACTTTCAGGTTTGTATAATATAAATTTCAAATGGCCTTATAGAAAAAATTCTGATGGCATCAAATCAGAAGATCTAGCAGGCCATTCTATGGGCCCTCTTCGCCCTACCCATTCATCTCAAAAATAGTCGTCTAGCCATTGCCGAACCGGAAGAACAAAGAGGGGAGGAGCGCCGTCTTGCTGAAAATATATTTCAGCCTCCTCAAGTATAGGGCTTCCATCCTCTTCGATTTGGTTTTCAATGGATTCAGTGATAAGCGGATTGATGGTATTTTCCAACATATGCAAACATGTGTCTCCATTCAAATTTCTATTAATAAACAATGGCCCAATCACTTTGTTTACTAAAATGCCTGCTCATACATTAATTTTTTGGGAGTTCTGGGTATGCCCTTCTACAAAAGTATGAGGATTTTCATTGCTCCAATACCTGCACTTTTGCTTTTTAACAAATCCATTTAGATAAAATGTGAATTCATCACTGAAGCAGATATTCTTTACATGAATGGTATTATCATTAATCGCTGCAGTCATTTGTTCACAAAACCCAACTATTCTATCGAAATCATCTTCGGTTAACTCTTGCAATATTTTAATTTTGAATTAATGAAATTTATGGAGCTTAGTAACTGTGTGTAGAGAGCCTAATGAAATACCAGTCGCAGCAACAATTCTGCGTAATGAAGTATTAAGATTTATTCCAAAATGATCCAAAACTTCAACTTGAGCGGCTTCATCCAAAACTCTCCGATGATCACGTTTTTTATTTGCAACAGATAAAGTTTGATTAAATTTAGTAACAAGGTCCACAACATACCTATGCGAAGTTCCTCCCCGGATGTCTGGAGTTAAACGTGACGGCAGTTTGCCGAGCACATTGATTTTGGGCACCAATCTTTCGGATAGTGTGTAAACCATTTTGGAAGTAAAATCTGAATCAATAAATTAATTTTCACTATCCCAAGCTATCCCTTAGCAAAAAATAACTAAACAGGTATAACAATAAATACAGTTCACCCAGGATATCTGTGTTAATGAAAAGAATGCGGAAAGAAATTCGGGTTGTTATTTGGTTGTTGCCACGTCTAATCTTCCTAATTGCTGTTTATGTTGGTAGTTTCCGTTTTAAATTATAAACGAATTGTACTCGTAGATATGGCAAACCCTAACGGGCAAAATTTGGCACTTATTCAAATAAAAAGTGATATTTTCGTATGTGTTTGTTTTCTATCTGATCAAATTAAGATAAATAAAGATTTTCGAATTTTCTCGAAAACGAATCGACTGATTTAAAAGAATCAAACGTCAACACAAAGGACTCCGAAAGACCTTTCAAACAAGCTATTACTCGATTCCCCTTGACATTTGAAATTTTCAAGGGAATGACTCCGGGAGGCCGAGGGTGAAAGGGGGTGGAGTAGTTTTTGGTTAAAAAGTTGTCGCCCTTGACAAATCTTCTGACGTGTCTCGGCGTGTCTTTTAATCAGTGGTTTTCGATATATCCGTGGTGGGAAATTTTCAAATGAACACCCTGTATATTATATGAGAAATAATTCATGGCCAAAACAGACCATTAGACCATTAGAATCAAACAGGTCTGTACAAAATGTGGAGCTACATGTTCTGCTTTCTCAGTTTGTTTTAGCTTATTCTGTTGACATATTTATTAATATTATACTCGATGCTTAAGTACCTTCTCAATATAAATTTGGGCGCTCCAAATTGGTATAAATAATAATGCGAGGTTTAG